CTGTTGATCTGCTGGATCTCCTCCTGCAGTGCTTGCACTTGTGTGGCACCCATCAAGGATGTTGTGTTGAAGCAATAGACATAATACACTGGGTACTAGCTGGTGCCTTGCCTTCCACCACCTTTTCCTCCTCCTCCTCCTCCTCCTCCACCTCCACCTCCGCCTCCACCTCCAACCTCTTGCTGCCAACTTTTGCAGATGGAAGAGCCCTGTACTTCTCCTCCACCAGATTGCACATGTCCTTGCTGACAACATAGACCCACACTGGCTCTCCTTGCTGGAATACCGCTTCTTGTGCATGAAAGAGCTCCACATGCTCATGTGACCATTCAAAGTTCCATGACAGGTGGGCGTCTATTGTGTTGGAGGCACAATGATAACCCCCATTATTGAATGAGACTCACTGAAATGTAAAATGGGGTGGCTTGTGAAAGGTACCCTGATCACTAACACCAAAGAACTTGGCCCAGCCAAACACACAGTCAACCTCAGCATTGTCCTCAGGACAGGTGATGGTCAGAAGACACATTGCCTTGGCAGCAGGACCAGTGTGCTGCATGGACTGCCCCACCGCCACAAGTATGTGTTTCAATCATTCAGTTCAGCAAGAGCAAAGTCACATGACAAGCAGGTAGCACACAGCCTTTTCCAGGTACCACCAAGCAATGTAGAGCAGCAAGTTCAGCCTTGCAGTGCTCTTCTTGGCCTGTGGCCAAACCTCCCAGTCCTGTTCACTGTCAATCTCAAAGTTATACTGCACCAGCCACCCCCACAAGTACAAGCAGTCATGTTGTTAGCGAAGGAGTGCACTGACATACATACATCAGAGGCACAAGATGCACACACCAGGTAGCAACAAGACAGGCATGTGAGCAACTGAATGCTCAGCATTGAGAGTTTCTGCCCCAACTTGTTGTTTGGTGCTTGAGACACAAGCTTACCTCCAGGCAGCTCCTGCACTAGGTCCACCAACACAATGACAAGGCGTGCAAGGGACATGACACTGTGGAACGGCTTGACTCATTCATCTTTCACATAAATCAGGCTTACATCACAAAAGTGGTACCAAAACACCTCTGTTGTTGTGGGTACACAAAAAGTGAGGACACAAGCAATCAAGTTGAATCATTTGAACAAGGTATTATGATTGCAGCACATTTTTATATAACCCCACATCATCAGCAGCACCCCCCAATCATGTACAGTTGAAGTAGGGTTCACTGCTGCTCTTCACCATCTTCTTCTTGTTGAGACAAAATGATTGAAATGGGTACAACTACATGTTGTCTTGGTCACTCCCACTTCATCTTGGTCTGCATGGCTGTGTCTGTGGCATAAAAGATGGAGAAACCACAACAAAAGCAGATGACACTGTAAAAATTAATGTAAACACCTGATTTGGCAACACCACGTGTTGCAACAGTCACAGTGTGCATTGAGACATGGGAGTTGGAGAAAGCACCTCAGAGTAAGTGCCAGAGGTACCTGAGGTAAGTCCTGTTTTTTGTTTCCCCCTTCTCTGCTGCTTTCCTCACACCAGCTCTTCTTCTACTTGCACACAAGCCACAATCATGTGCTAATTTATCTGAACACTGAGTGGAGTGACGCTCTAGTGCTGGTGGTACACCTGCCTGTCCAATGGGTGAATGTGGTTGCCACAGCCCTCAACACCACCATGAGGTTTGCTCACAAGAAGGGGGCATCACTTGTTGAGGTACCTTGAATCATCAACACCCAGCCCAGGGACAAGTGGCTGGCCCTCAGCATCAGCCTCAACGAAATTCAGCATC